GCAGAGAAACGCGGGGACTCGGAGTGTCTACTGGGTGTGGCTTTGTTTTCCTTTCTAGAGACAAGGTGGGTTTCAAGTTTCCAGAATGTTGGCTGGGATTGCAGGCATAGCCATCACGACTAAATGCCTTTTCCCGTGATACGAGCATTCGCGTAACCGTGTAACAGACCCTTTGTGAGTTATAAGCTGCTTAGAGCTCTTCAAAAATGCTTTGCAAACTTTATCATTCTTGTTCTCATCACTCTTCTTGCCTCCTCGCAGCCTGACACTTGGGCTGGTCTGCTCAAGCCTCTTACAGGCCATCTTGTATCAACACTAACAGAACACCGTTTCAAAAGACATCCATCCTATCTTCAAAGGATCATCCAGGGAACAGATGTCAGCCAACAGATGTCTGTACAAAAACCGCTGTTGCTCCTCAGCAGTTAGCCAGTTCTATGCATGCGCTATCTTTTCAACCAGTCTGAAGAGATTTCTTGAGGAAAAGGGGGCTGATAAATGAATTTTTCTGAGATGCCCTGAAATGGACAGAGGTCCAGAAGAGGGAAGAAATAAAGGAAGTCAATTAGGTAACAGTTGTTTGGGGTTTGTTCTTTTCTCGGGGGCGGGACTGGGGCAATAATGGAGAACTAAGAAGCCTGTGAGCTGAAATCCAAAAATACCGCCAGCTATAGATCACATACGCACTTTTTAGCCTCGTTGCTGGTAGTTTACAAAATGTGCCCCAAGTCTTGGCCCTTTTCCTAGCTAGTATATTTAATAAGCCCTTTTATTTCAAAGACCTCTTTGCCCCAGGACCTGTTTTTCGGGGGTCATAGTCTTCACTTTGGGAACAAAGCCACACAGACTTAAAACTGTTTCTGTCCTGTAAAGCCGCTCCACTCCCCTGTCACCGCTCCAGACGCAAGAAATCACCGGACCTGGGCCTGTCCACCCCTGACCCAGGGAACTTGCCGCAGAGTCGGGCTTGATCTGAGCTGAGGTTCTCAGAACCTCAGCGATCAAGGAAGGTGGCCTGGCGAACCCGCTCGGCTGTTTCCGGAGTACTACGGAAAGCATACCAGGCAGGAGCGCCCGCCCGCCGCCCCGGCCCAGCATGGGGACAGCTCGCCTGCAGCTCGCCACAGCCCGCGCCCCGTCTGTCGAATAACGGGGTGCGGGATGCAGGGACAGAAGGGACTTACCTCGCGTGAGCGCACAGCGATGCGCAACTGCCGGGGTCGAGGACTCCGCTCTTCCGGAGGTAACGGGGCTTGCTCGCACAGGAAGTCCCGCCCCTGAGAGCCTTCAGGAAGGGCCGGGACGTCTAGAAACCCCGCCTTCACGTCTGGACTCCTCCCGGAGTTGCCGGTTTGAACGTCCTAGGGGCTGCAAGGCTTGGTCTGGTTGAAGTTGGTGTATTCTGGCATTCTTCTGCATTCCCTTTCTTTAAGAACTTCTTCTTTATTTTGCAAATCTCCACTTTTGTCTTTTCAAGTTTTCCCATTTTCCTTTCTCCCGTCTGGTCCATCCTGCTCTTTGGTCACAATACATTGTTGTTGTGACTGTCATTGTGCAGCTCTTATTATTTGCTAAACCAAGCCTAAAGCAATTCACTTAGATACCTACTGTTCTTTGTTGAGAACTTGACAGCTACAGGCAGTTGTACTTCTCATCCACCCCAACCCTCAGCTCTAAGGATAAAGCCTAGGGCTTTGTAAATAGTATACAAGCACCTTGTCACTGAGCTACCTTCCCAGACATGAATTTTCAACAATGTCCCATTAGGTAGCGTAGGTTGGCTGCTGAAGTCCTTGATCCTCATCTCACGCCTCTACTTCCAGAGTTCTCAGGTTACAAGCGTGTGCCACCACATCAGGCAGCAGCTGTGTTCTTACATGCTTAAACATAAGTGTTCCAACAATTTCATGAAGAGTCTCTTCATTATACAGATAATGAAACTGAGGCTTAGAGAGATTAAGGGATTTGTCCCAAACTTACACAGCGTGAACACAGCACCCTGACTCCAAAATCCACATACAAAGACCAGTTTGCTCCATATGGGCAACAGAGGCTCACGTATGGCTCCTCAAATGTTTCTTCACAGCAAATGGTAGGTCATGATGACAGGTATGTTACTCTTAACTGGAAAACTCTACACATATGACCTTCCACAAGAGGACTACAGTGTCCCTGCATAACTCCTTGTGAATTCATTGCCTCTCTTGATTTAATCAAAAGACAAGAAATTATTAATGATGTGCAATATGTCTCAGTGATAAGTGGCAGGAATGGTGAACCCAACTTGTAAACAATTATCACAAAGAGCCAAAACTTGTCCTTGCTCTTCTGAGGAATGAAACCTTAAGAGACTGATTTGGAAGCTGGGCGGTGGAGGCTCACACCTTTAATCTCAGCATTTGGGAGGCAGAGGTAGGCAGATCTCAGTGAATTTGAGGCCAGCCTGGTCTACAGAGCGAGTTCCAGGACATCCAGGAATATTACACAGAGAAAACACGTCTCAAAAAACAAAAACAACAACACTCTCCTCTGCCCCTCCCTCTTCCGCCTCAAAAAAATCAAAAAAAAAAAAAACATGAAAGAAAGAAACTAATTTGGATACCTCTGTCAAATACTCTTGTTTTTTTTTTAAGTTCTTCAACCATTTTAAAATAGAATAAAATCTTATCAAATGTCTGCTGACAGGCATAGATATGTGAGCAGATGAGTTCTCTAGGCACGTGAAGACATGGCATCTTTAAACCTCTCAGGAGCGGAAGGTGTCCCACTGACTTGGCAAAGCTGATAAAATCAATCTTGAAGGAAGATAAATGAGGCACTACAGACAGGATTCGTCTACAGCAGAGCTGTTGCTAGCTTCCTCCAGCAGATGAGCAGGAACTCTAGTTTTGTTCTGTTTGTCTGTCTCTAGCAGCCTCAGCTGCTTCTTCAGAACTACCGTCAGGTAACTCAGGATTTCAGCACAAATGGTCCGTTCTGTTGCCAAGTGATTTCTGAACGGGAAGTGCACAGCAGTGTCTGATGTTCTGATTCGGATACGGCAGTGCTGCAAGCTGGCATCAAAAGCACAAAACCCTGCTATTGAGTGTATGAAAGTTGGTTCTGATGGTTGTAGAGACCTCCATACATGATGAGAGAAAAACTCTGAGATGATAAACTTTAAACAGAGAGAGACAGACAGACAGACAGACAGAGACAGAGAGAACGTGAAGTCTCTGTTGATCTTGGGTTTTACAGATCTGAAAACTGACACATTCTAGGTGTCATAAGGTTGATCATAAACCACAACTAGAAAGACAGGTTTCCTGGCTTGCAATTGGCAGATTATATTCACTAAGAGATGCCTAGTTAAGTTTGTATTTTATAAATAACGTTTATACTGTGAGCCTATGAATGGACATTACTGTTTAAAGGAGTCAAATACTCCCGGGAGGCAATCATTGTTTTTAAGATCAGGACAGCCATCCGTCAGCACACCATCGGGGCTTTTATGAATCCAGTTTTTAATATACTGGACTTAGTGGCATAAGAAAGAACAGATATGTCTATCTTGTATCAGCAGAAAACAGAAGTTCCCTACTACGACAATACTATAGGCAAGAACATTGACAGGAAAATATTAAAGGCTTAGGCTCCAAACATAGCTATCTAATTTATATTTCAAACTACCAGTATGTATCTGTCAGTGTCAACAGTTTAAAATCAAACAAAACAGTAATAATAACTAAGGAAGCACAGTAAATGTGTGGTTGAATATAATTCCCACAACAACAAAGGAGTTGGCATCATTATTTCCACCTTCTTAAGAGAACTGGACTGTGGGATAATTATTTTGTCTTCAACAACAAGAAAAGAGGCAAATAGGGAAAGGCATATCCTTAAGACTGGTATTTCTTTTTAGGGTTAATGGCCACATTGCCTGTGGAGAAGAATACAGACTGGTCATAAGTACTAAAAAATGCATCGAAAATTTCGGCCATAAATTTTTTATGATGCAAAAATCTATCTCATGAAGTTTATATAGAGGTGTGTGTGTGTGTGCACGCGCGCGTGTTATAAATTATAATCCAGAGCCTCAAATATGCCAGGTAAGCACTCTTACTAAACTGCACACCCCTGACCAAAGACCAGTCGATTACTTTTTGAAGCATAGTCTTCATTTGAGTCCTAGCTTGTGCTTTAACAATTTGTTTGAATAAGCATATGAAAAACTTAATGTATGTAGCAAATACAATAGGGTTTCTTTGCAGGGAAATGTAATGTCATCCAAATTAAACATTAAGATTAATGTGGCTGACTAGAGTCAGCAGAGAGAAGTCAAAGTCCTTTTGGAAGGTTTGGGAAGCAGCACTGGGAACGGGAGGAGGCTGCTGCAGGCACCGATGAAACATTCCACAGTAACGAGGTGGACTGTTTAAAAAGACAGCGAGGGAGAGACAAGCTTTCCAGATAAGTGCCCGTGCCTTTGGAGTGGAGTATAGGAGTCAGAAGCACACATGGCTGTGAAAACAGCCTTGCTGTGTTTATTCAAGACAGGCTGCTCCCCAGTGAGCTAGTGGGGAAGCCAGGGGAATGTCAGACAGAAATCTGCGTGCTCATTCCCCGAGTAAGCATTTGCTATCCATTGTATGGACAGCCTTTTCTTAAAACTCAGGATATACAAGATTCACTGGTTATTTCCATTGCTGTTCCTCATTAAGAGATTGCAAAATCATTACCAAACTAACACACTGCAAGGGTGTCTTAACCCCCTTCTCAATATGTACTGTAGCAGTCACTGGGTGTTTACTATGGTAGCATATGTGTGTCCTATATAACATATACAATATGTAACATATTTATATACATATAGATGTGTAACATATCACACACACAAATATGTAAAACATACAAGTATTAGAAGAAGTACTCTCACCCCCACGTCAAGCCTTCGAGCAGATGAAAGGAGACTTGAGAGCAGGCATTGCTGATGCACGGTTTGAAGCAGGGCAAGGATTAGGAGTGCTGCGAGTTCTAGACTAGGGGAGCTTTCTCAGCTTCTGTGCTAAGGCTTCCTAGTCTCCTACCCTTGTAGATCAGAAAGAGCAGGGACATTTCACATCCAGAACACATGGCTACTGTAAAAGGAGCCACAGAGGCTTCATATGCCTTGAGCTGTGGGAGAGAGAGCTGAATAATGGCCAGGGCTAAGAAACTATTCAACATCCCACTTTCAATAGCAATCGTTTTGCAAACAGGAAGAGGCAGCATACAGACTTTAGCAAAGAAATAGCCAAACATAAAGCCCAGTGCAGGAACCAAAAGCCCCAAAAGAAGCACGTTTAGGTTAGCCATTCTCAGAAACACCAGTCCCATCCTGAAAGCCAAATAGATCCCTACAAACATTAAAGTCAGACTCAGAGGCCGAACTACTCTCTCTAAACAGACTGCTCTTTCAGGTGATCTGTGCTTGATGACCACACCAATTGATACTGGTGTAAGAATGAACAGGAGTGTAGACACAATCTTTAAAACAGGAACATGAAAGACACCTGCTAACCCCAATAGCCTACTGTATATGTAAGAATTGACAGGCATCATTATCAGGGCCAGGGATGTCGATGTGCAAGTCATCAAAATGGCCAAAGTGACATCTCCTTCCAGAAGTAGGGCAAAAAGATAGCCCCCACCTCCTCCTGGGCATGTGCAGGTCATTACAAATCCAAAAGCTTGTGCTTCGTGCAATCCCAAAATCTGAGACAAAAAGAAACCACAGAATGGCATCAGAAAAAACTGTGTCACTGCCCCGAGAACTACTGGCAGAGGTCGTTTCCATACGGTTTGAAGTACCTGGAACTCTATCTTGCAGCCAAAGGCACATTTATTTAAAAGGATCATCGATAAAACAAGCAGTAAGATATACTGATTGACATGCACTGGTGCCTGGAAGAGGCTGTCTTCCGTCTGTCCGAGCACTCTGACTTTAACATCTGTTATCTCTTCAATGAGTCTTTTGTGCCTACCTTCAGAAGTCCAGAGCTGAATGGTCATGTTCGTCTCCCCAGGGAAAGTCATTAGGCTGAGGGTAAAGTCTGTGGCGTCCCGCGAGGTCTTGGTCAAGTTGACCACCTGCAGCACCTTTGGATCTTCTACCTTCACAAAAAGGTAGCTGGAGTCCGGCCGTTTGTCCTTGTAACTGGACCTTACGATGACAGCTTCCTTTGTCTTTGTAAATGACAGTATTTCTGAATTTTGTATATTCAGGAAACTGAGAAATGACTTCTTTGCTTCTCCTGGGATCACCAACAAAAGTAGGATTACAAAAGATTTTCCAAACATTGTGAAAAGTTTGATAAACCGTACGTGGCAACTCAAGATTTTTTTTTTTTTTCAAAAATAGACGGGCATTCTTGCAGGTCTCCAGTGGCAGAATGCATAAATGTGGGTTAGGCAACAGCTGGGGTTTGGTGGGTCAAGGTCCAAGAGGAGGGACCGTTGTGCTTGTAACGAATATAAAGCTCCCTAGTGAGTGACACAGCCAGTTTCTCTGTAGTTAAGGAAACTGAGACGCCAACCCTTGCATTTAACAGGTATCACCACCACAAGCACCCACTGGATCTCTCTTCCTGAGTTCCTTATTACTTGAGGATAAAGTCTTAGAGCCATTTTTTCATTTTCTTTTGTCCTAAGGAAAACAATAAAATAAAAGCAGCCAGGGACAGAGGTATCTACGATAGATACTAATGCTTGGAGACCATTATCACTATTCCATCAAGGCAGATGGAAACTGCATATCTACCTACATGCTGGTGTGACCGGAGAGTGAGTACTGGGGAGAGAGAAGGAGGGAGGTGGGTTGAGGGAAAGGAAGAGGGAAGGCTGTAGGGGAGAAGGGGGTAGACAAAGAGGGAATTAGTGAAGGCTGACATATGAAGCCAGTTATGAAAGACTAGAAGTCCCTTCCTGCCAAGGCTGTCTTCCAAGAGTTGCAGAGAAGGAAAACAAACAACATGAGGTACAAATGTGCCAGTCTGCGCTGAACTCCTAGCCCTTCCCTATCCCTGGCCCACTTCCACCCGTGGAGATGCTTTTTAAATAAACTGTCTCTTTTCTGACCACCATCCATGTGTCCATCCCTAGTCCAATTCCTTGTTCAGGGACACAAATAACTGGAAGTTGAAACAGCTGCACTATGCACCCTGACTCGTGCCTTTAACACTGGGGCCCTACACTGAAAGCCACAGTGACCAAGGGAAGTACAATTTTGCTCTCTTGACGTTAGTCATGTGGCTGCCATCAGTGACTACAAGGCCTAACCTCAAGAGCTTCCTTGATGCTAATAGTTTTCTGCAGTTCTAGAGCAATTCTATCTGGCAAAATAAATCCTTAGACTACCCTTGCTATATGTTGCTCAAAAACGTCTGGTGTGGTCACCAGGTAACTTGAGGACATAAGAAGGTAGCCTGGCTAGGGAACTGTTGCTACTGGGCATGTGGAATTCCAGAGAGGAAAGGCACTAACCTTAATTCTAATGCTCTAGTCTTTTACTGTGCACAGCTAGGGCCACGGACAGCTATCAACTAACCCAGCAATGCCTCCGCTTCTATGGATAAGGAAAAGCAATCCACAAACTCAACTGTGCACTTCCCAAATGAGAGGATGCCAAGCAGTGAGAATTCAAATAAATTCCCCATTACTACAAATGCATATTTTACTTTTGTGTTAGAATACAAAGTAATGAGCGTCATTGTGGCATTTTCAGTTTGACCGATTGTTTTAGAAAGGTATGTAGGTGTCACTCGGCATTATTAATTTATTTCCATGTAAGACATTAAGAAAAACCAAAGACATATTTACCAGTGGCAAGGACAGGGACTAGGACTAAGCTCTGCTCAATGACAGCAGTAATTTTCCAAAGGAACTTTATTTTAAGAATAGAGTATCACTATGAATCTCTTGCTGGCTGTCCTGGAATTCACTATGTAGATCAGGCTGGTCCTGACTCACAGATCCATCTTCTTCTGCCTTCTGAGTACTGGGATTTAAGGCATGGGCTGCCACCCTGTTTCTCAAGGAACTTTAAAGTGACAGAAACACCTGCCACTGAGAAGACTTAAGCAAGGGAGTCACAAGCTTAAGGCCAACCTGGGCTACAAAGTAAAAACTTGTCAAAATGAGTAAAGAGCCCGGTGGGATAGCTTAGTGAATAGAGCACTTACTGCCCGGGTGAACACCTGAGATTGATTCCCAGAACCCACATAGTAGGAAAGAACCAGTTCCCCCAAGTCGTCCTCTGACCCACACACATGCTGTGGCATGTGACTTAGAAGAGAAAATGACACGTACTCTTACAATATATGACCTTAGTACCTTAAGTCACAACTTTGATTGACCAGATCCAAGCAATATGAAGTATTCCTTCTCATGCACTTTATCTAGTTTTACTTTGTTTCTCTTTCAGGTTCCCCCAACCTTTCTTCATACTGAAAAGTTTGAGACTGACACCTGAACACTGCAGCTGGAAGAATCCCATGGCCCAGCTCTCTCATGTATTGCCCGTCCTTTAGGCTGATGCCCATTGGTATCAGGGATTTAGTTCAGCCGTTCATCTGCACTCCTCTCCTATGTTTTCTGTGTCTCCCAGGACAATTTTAATTGTCTGCCGGCAACGGAAACACCAGGGAGGATGGGGACAGTGTAACCTTACCGTTTCATTAGGCAAACTTACTCGCAGCCTTGGGTTTTCTGCTTTCAGAGTGATTTGGACACAGGCAGTTAGGGGGACTGAGACTCTCATCCACACCTTGTCCTCTTTAGACTATGCATGCCTTAGCTACCAGTTTTTAGTATCCCTGGCGTCCTCCATAGCTGCAGGCTCCACCGCCTAGGACCTGGCCTTGCTTACAGGCAGTGTACTAACTTTGTCGGGCCCTCTGGATATCGCCTTGTTCCTTTTGTCTGATTAAGGAGAGAAGACATTTTTTTCATCCTTCCTAGGTTTCAGTTCCTGCCAGCCTCATTTGCCCTCCTCTCAAAAGGTATTATTTTTTTGGCATTCAGTTTTCATTCAATTGTATGTGCTGACCACCTATTGTGTGCAAGTAATTGAAATTAATATAGGTACTGGTTGGAAAACTTTTTGACATCTCAAAACAAACAAACAAACAAACCCAAACCAACTTCTGGTATATGGATTTTTAAACATTATTTCTCTCGCTAGTGTGATAGTTTCCCATTAAACAGCTATTGGGGCGTGGCTATACTGTCTGTGCACTTATTTGCAACTTGCCTTACAATTTTGTGTGACAGTTCTAAGTGTATGTCTACATATCTTCACTGTATCTAAAATGGCAATTAGATACTAATGTATCAAGTAGATGCGTAAGTAACTCTGTAAAGGAATGGATTCAGAACCTGATAAAAGCCAGAAATTATCACTGTTTATCACATGGACATGAAAAAGATGGACCTGAAGAAGACCAAAGGAGCATGTGAGTTTATTCTTTTAATTAAACCTAAAGTCATGAAAATTGGCACGGGGGGGGGGGGCAATTAAAAATACTTTATTTCCTTCTTTAGTGCAGTCCTTCATACACTACAGACAGAAACATTCATTCTCAAGTGTAGACAAAAAGCATTCCCCAAAAGGACTTATTTCAATTTATAGATAAAATGCAGTAATTGCTGGTGTATATTTTGCTTTGGTGCAATGAAAGAGATTGTAACAAAGCAGTCTATTCATTGCTCTTCTCATTTCTCTATTCTCATACACCATACCAACAAAAACATGAATCCTATTGGAGGAAATTCATTACCCGAAATATATTCAGTGCAATTACATGATACCAAGAAAATAATTTTCCCTCCTCATATATGAGGTTTCTTATCCAAACCCTTGGAAGACTGAGTGAGAGGAAGGCTGAGATCCCACAATTCATGCGCATATTCCAATCACACGTCATCATTTAGGTATACAGAAGGTTGTGTATTCTGGCCCCTTAGTCAATTAGGCTTAATCGTAGGGCCTGCTTAAAACAAAGACGACAAGTACCGAAGAATCTGCCACCTGCGTCCTCCTCTGCCATAAGAATGGAAAAACAGCAATAAAAATAATACTTTGTCATAACTACTAATACATAGTTCAAATTTAAAACACAAAGCCTGGAACTTAGTAGAAAACAACTGATGTAAATTATGACCTAATGGAAATAAATTATAAAAAAGCAACTTTCAGAGTTTTAAAAAAGTATCTGTCGTAAAAGAATGATTTCTGCTTGTAAATTCTGGCTCTAATTCTGGAGTGACTATTCCAAGTAAGAGTCAACATTTTTTAAAAACTGCTCTTCATCGTTAAGATACTCCAAAATAACATTTCCTCCATTATGTAAAGGGCAATCCTCCTTGGTGATCCAGGTTTCCAAAGTATGGTCCAAGGGCAAGGCTTCTCCTGAAGGAACGTGACACAGCCGCAGCTTCTGCCGAGAGAGAAACAAACCACACAGTGGTAGGGACACCCACTTGTGGGCAGAGCGGGAAGGAGGGGTGGTGGCTGCAAGTTACCTTTGCCATCAGCTTGTTGTTCTCGTTTCTAAGACCGGCTAGAGAGGCTGCGAAGTCCACCACCTTCCCAATGCTCCAGCGGAGGCAGAAGAACATGGCTTTGCTCTTCTCTTTGCTCCCCTTCGGTAAGTAAACCTGAAAGTAAATTCTCTCTGTCTGTGTGAGCAAAAGTTAACATATAGATTAGACACACGGGATAAGACATTCCTTTCAGCTAGTGGTCCCTTTCTTCTTTTCATCAAAGTAAAATAATGCCATAATGATACAAGTTCAGTGAGCAAACCAAAGGTGTAGCCCATCTAACTAACTGTATGTCCCAAGGACCCAACCCCAAACTCTAGCTAGGTGATCCTATGTTATGACAGTTGTGTGACCTGTTTTATGTTCAGGGCCTGGGGCACAAGCTCTGTCTCTTCTGTGTTGAGTTCCAGTGGTTCAGACCTGGACCGAGGCTTCCCCTCAGAGCCCCCAGCCACTCCTGAGTTAAGAATGAGTTCCACACAGACAGAGAGAAATTGGGGAAGCTGATGGGTCATTCAAGATCACAGAACCCTAAACATGGGCCACTGATCTGTTCTGTTAGGAAACAAACTGGTTTCTACTGTACTGCTTGGAACCCCGTTCCTGTCATCCGAGAAACAAGGCTTCTGATATAAAACACCTTTTTATGTGAATGACTTTACTGCTTATTGGATGCAGCAAGACTTTTGAGAACAAAGAAAAATATTTATTAATAAAACAGGGTTTCAGAGGTGGGATCTCTACTATAATCTGTGCCTTACTGTGTTCTTTGATTGTATTTTGTTACTTAATTAACTTTATTTTTCTTTAAAAAAAATAATAGGGGGAATAGACTCTTCCCTGATTGCTAAAATTTGCTTTAGGGAGATTGTCTTCACAGGTCACCTCCTGGACAATAAGTGTTACTCTCAGGGAAGCATGCCTAACGGGAAATGCTGGGAACAGCTAGAGCAACCTTAGGCACTAACAGTGAGATTGATGCCTAGCTCAGCAGAAAGGAACTCAGACGTGCTGAAGGTCAGTGGGTGTATTAAAGATGAAAACCTTCAAAGAGATCTGCTGGAAGCCTCAGCTCTGGCCCACTTCATCACCACCAGCGCTGCTCCCACAGGAAAGCAGCAAGATGACATAGGAGACGGGCAAAGGAAAACTTAGAGTCTCTAACAATATCTGAGATCAAACACAAGCCAACAGGAAGCTGAAACAGGAGGTTTGCGAGTTTGTGAATTTAAGAACAGTCTGGGAGACCCAGTGTCTAAGTAAGTAAGTAACAACAACAGAACACATAAGAAAGAAAACTACAAAAACAAACAACAGGCTGTCAGGGCTTCAGAACAGGTAGTACAGAGCTTAGGGTGGCTAATGCGGCTCTGGGCGGTCTGAGGGACTGCCTGCCGAGCACTGGCCTGGAAACTGCTCACACGTCAGCACAAAGACAGGCACAAAGCACAGCTGTGCCTCCTTCGCAACACAGCTGAGCTCTCCCACCTCAGGGGCTGCAACTGCAACAACCCCAGAATCTCTCTAGATAGAAGCATCATTCGGCTCAAGCTGAGATCTTGAAACCGATGCTCTGGGTGGGTGGGTTAAAGGAAAAGCAGAAAACTACCAGGGAGGGACTGGGAAGTAAGGGGAGAGAAAAAAGCAGCTCTTCAAAATCAAAATGAACTTGTGGAACCAATAAACTTAAATCTTAAAATGAAGTAATAAACCTAACAGATCTAAAAAGACATTAAAGAAAGTTATTTGGGATGCAGTGAGAGACATTATATAACATTTCCCATAAAAAGGATCATGTTATAAAATGAAAACAACTGGAAATAAAACAAGGTGTAGATATCCAAGAAGAAATACAAAAGCTAAAAAAATGGCTTCAAAAATAAGCAACTCGAACCAGGTAAATTTCTACCATCGTCAGTTAAAGGCATACAACAGAATAAAGTGTAGTTACTGAATGAACTAGACCATAACTGGGGCACAGAGAAATACTAAAAATGGAGGGAAAGTGGGCCAGGAAAGAAGATCATGCTCACTGCCACCTCCAGGGGAAACAGGCAGCAGTGGTCTTCAGAGGTGACCCATGTCAGGTTCACATTCGTATTCGATGGGGGGGAGGAAGAGAGAGGAGGTCTCGGCACATGTCACACGCTTGGCTCGCTTGTTTCACCTGCGGCAGTGACTTGTCCCCGTCAGCATGCATCTTCAGCTTCATCAGGGCCACCTTCGCGGCTGTGCCGCTGGTCTTCGCGCCTTTCCGGCCTTTTCTTACTACTGCCCCTTCTGACTTGGAGTCTAAGGAAGAAGTAAAAGCATGCAAGTACTTTCTTACTGCAATTTCCAGATTTTCTTTTCTTTCTTTTCCTTTTTTTTTTTTTTTTTTTCCTTTTCTCTTGTTTTGAGACAAGGTCTCCCCAAGTAACCTTGGCTGGCCTGAAACTCACCGAGCTCCACCTGCTCTGATAGGATTACAGAAGTACACTGCATGCCCAGCTTTACCATTCTGGCCATCAGCCTACATAAACTGCACAGGGCAGCTCTAGTAAGTATATTTACAAGACTAATGGTCAATCTAAGCAATTTCTACCTCAGAAAACTTCACAGGCTCGTGCTTCTTTCTGACATAAGCGATTTATTCTACAGTGGCCACTGGTGAGAGCTTTCATAGAACACTTCCGGTCTTAACAAAGGCCCCACTCTGTCTGTAGGATAAAAGTTCTACTGATCTAATATATTGCCAGAGAAACTAGGCTCTTTCCTGGTGCCTCATTATCTGTGGCATTCACAGCACAGCCAAATAACCTTAGTAGAATGTGTTCTGTAGACAAAGCCATCCGTCATGCCAGCTCATCAACACACCTAGCTAGAGTCAGCACCAGATTTGAGCTGCCCGACAAGTGAGACCATCCAATGGGAACCTTACAATGCTCTAATTTTCCCTGGTCAGGAAGACTTTGTACAAAAACTCTTAGGTTATTAAAATGCAAGTTCTTGGGACTGTAGAGATGGGTTAGCTGTTAAGAGCACTTTCTTCTTTTCCAGAACACCTGGGTTCAATTCCCAGCGCCCACATGGCTCATGGCTGTATATAACTCCAGTTCCAGGGGATCTGACACCCTCTCTGGTCTCTAAGGATACCAGGCATGTAAGCAGTAAACAGATATACAAGGAGGCAAAATACCCATAGAAATAATTTAAAAATAAATAAAATGGTAGAAAAGAAGGCAAGTCCTACACTGGAGCTGCTAATAAGCCTCCATAAGTGGCGATCTGAAGCAAGAGGCAGGAGAAGTGGAGTATGGGATGGACACCAGGGGCCCAGCAGCCACACACTTCCTAGGATGCTAGGACTCACCAATAATGTCCTTGACAAGTTTCTGTGTGGCAGTCATTCGAGGCTGTGGGGTCTCCAGTTTTTCACACCCATGGTCCGACTGATGGCGGTGTCTACAAGAAAGAGAGGAATTGGCACTCGTTCACGTACAGTTGAGCAGGTACACAAAGCTTGAAAGCTTTTAGGTGATTACCTTAGGCAGAAGTTCTTCTCACAGTAGGGACACACAACTGCCACGAGCTCTACTTCAGTACAGTCCTTGAATGAGCATGGGTAAGGTTTGTGTTCATCTGTCTTTGGTCTCTCCTTGATGATATTCACCTACAGCAGTAAGAGGGGGAAACGGCACTATAGTCCCCATTTCCGACAACACAAGAGCCAGTGTTAGAGGACATCATCCATAGCATTTTGATTTAAATTTATTAGATTAAGTTATATATTCTCATATGTTATTATGTCATGAGAAAGGATTACTAGGCTTATTGTTCCACTTTGGCATAACTTTTCCTAAAGTGTTGTAATTATATTTAAAGTAAAATTAAAATGACTATTCAGTTTCCCTACCTTTTTATTGAGGCTTGGTCTTACTATGCAATAGCCCAGCTGGCTCTGAGTCTGCAGTATTTCTATTTTGGCCTCCTGAGTGCTGGGATCCTAGGGTGTACCACTGTGCCTAGTCTACTGCCTACAATTTTCCTCTCCGCTCTGTAACACTGCTACACAAAGATGCCCTATCAAAATCTGCCCAGCTGGTCAACTCATCAACCCTCAAATGGGGAGTCACAACGACTTCCTATGCCAGTTTTAGAAACTGGACAATTCAGGACACAGTACCCTTAAAACTCACACCTGTGACATGAGGCTGTTCTCAAAATCATAAACTAGTTCCCATGCTATGTGAAAGATTTTATTATTGGAAAACATTACATCAGAACACATTTTTTTTGCAAGGAAACAAAAAGAAACAGATTAGCCACGTTATTGAGCATAGAGTAATTACATTCCTAGAGTTAAGTAAACCTAAGAAAAGGATTACTTGAAATCGGTAACCATAGGAAAATTCATTGTATTAACAGTAGGAACATCTATTATAATTAAAAAACCTAAATTTTCTTCCAAATTTGCTGCAATGACCTAAAGGTAGAAATATTTTTCACTTGAATATGTATCTGAAAAATGTAAGAGCTATTCCTAAAAATCAAATGATAGTATAAGAAAAAATCATAGAGGGCCAGACTTATGTTTTAAAAGAAATATAATTTTACTATGATGTTAAATACAATACATCCCTTCCATTCAATCTTATATAATATTAACAAGTTATGTAATTTTCGTTTTCCTCAAATAGACCAGACAAAGGGGTCAGATTTTTTATAATTGAGAGAACGGAAGTGAAAAATCTCCAATAGGGCTTGGTGAATGGAGGCAGGGATAAACCAACTGAAAGTTACCTCAAGATATAAGCTGCTGCTTCCATCTACTGTGGGGAATTCTCAGTTAACTCCTTGTCTGTCTGCCCTGGGGAGAAGCAATGCTAAGTAGTATCTGGGCATCAGGCTTTGGACAGCTGATCCAGATGTCTGGCTCTGCACTAAGTAGTGATAAGGCTGTTAGTCTGGTCTCTATCTTCAGCTTCCCTTCTCAATCTATTCATCTGTTTGGAATCCGGATAAGGATTTTCTTTCATTGGACTAAGGGTTTGCTCTTGGTGGTCTAAGGCTGACTGGGTTCAAACATGTGACTACCACAGAATCCTATCAGCAGACATCAGTGAAAATGAACACTACAGTGAAGGACAGAGTGACCTGGAAGGACAATGTGACGTGGGCACTGAGGCCAACCTGTATCACAAACACACAGCTTAATGCTACGAGTGGGCTTCCCAAACAGAAATGTAGGAATAGATATTATGAGGATAAAAATGTGAAAATACCAAACAGAGTAAATTTTCTTCAAGGAGAGACCAATATTAGAAATGCAGCAAAAGACTTTTTATAGAACTAATTTAGGATGCTAAACTTAAATGTCTGGTGTACCAGCTAGCTTAAAATCTAAACCAATTCCAAAAGTACACAAGTACAGATACATAAATTATACCAGAGAAGAGAAAATAAACATACCTCAGGACAACCATGCGCATCCTTGCTTCTGTGTTCAAGGCTTAAATAATTTCAAAAAAGTTTATTTCAGACCAATCAATTAATTCACTTAATGATAACTGAAACAATTTGGGCTATTCTAGTATCTCACTTCCTTAAGGACCTTTAAGTCACTACACTAGTGACTTTCATGCAAGAACCTGAAATCCACAGACAGAAAGAGTATCTACCGTCTCAAACGGAAATGTTCACCTGCAATCGCGTTCTCCTTACTTCAAGTGCTTTGAAGTGCACAGAAACTTCAGTCTCTGCTGAAAGGATTCAGCTGAACGAAGAACTGCGATGCCAAAGCATGTATCTCAAACCCTTGAGTGGTGTACAGCGCACATAGCGTGATGCGGTCAATCACTATCCATTTTAAGATCGTTATAGGTCGGGCTCTTTCCATCCGTTGATTAAAATACAGAGAATAATCATGGCTGGATTTTTAAAAGCTTAAGTTATTTATATGTGAACATTATTTTCTCATTGTATATTATGATACCTAATCTTCCAATCCACATTTATGACTGCATTTCTTGAAACTTTAAAGATTAATGATATATATGCATAACTAATTAAAACCTTGCCTTTCCTACAAGTGATTACAATTCTGAATATCAACTGTCCATGGCTAATGTTACAACTACTTTCAAATCATTCTATTTCTCAGAAATTAACCTCACATTGACAAACACCAAAATTCATTTTAAATCCTACGTAAAAACTTAACTTACCAAAATATTCCTGAACAACCATCACATACAAATGGAAGAAAATCTAAAATTGGAGGAAAATATGGTAGGTACTGGTGAGTATCTGATTTTGATTTAGTTTTCTTAAGCAAAAAGAATCTCCTGGCCAATTCTATAACAAAATTTTCTTTTGCCACGCAGTGGTGGCGAACGCCCTTAATCCCAGCACTCAAGAGGCGGATCTCTGTGAGTTCGATGCCAGCCTGGTCTGAAGAGGGAGTTCTCGGGCAGTCAGAACTGAGAAGGTCTGATGAACTATCACTATTGTCACTAAATAAAGCATGATACCTTGAGCTTCAAGTCCATACCCAGAAGTTAGAGATACGTGTGTCAATATGAGAAACTGAAACAAAAGAATCTGCAGAATTTCAGTATCTTTCTTTGGATGTATTTCATGTATGTGTTCTTGTGCTTTGACACACATGTGGAGGTCGGAGGATAACTTTTTGGGACCCAGCTCTGTATTCCGTCATGTTTTTGAGGCAGGATCTCTCGTCCTCCTGCCAGTGCCCCCGGCATATGAGCCTCCTGTTCCACTGCCGAGCTCACGGAGCCACCTTGCTCGCCCATTATGTCACTCCGCAGTGAAGAACTCGGCATGTTTGCTATTTTGAGACAGAGTGATCAAGTAAATATTATGTCATTCAAGGAGGCCTGAGAGGAAAAGTTATGATCAAAAAATTTCCTACCATCCACACTTAATTTTAATCCTATTTCAAGAGACAAATCTCGTCTTAATTAATAGACAAAATCTCGTCTTAATTAATAGACACTAAAGATATGTGAAACTGGGAAGGATGAGCTATAACACAAATGATAGGTATTTTAGACATAATTTAGCCTGACCAAATGAAGACAACAGTGAAAGCCAAAGGCTAGGTTTCCATAGGAGAGGACTACAGGGGAACAAGCTTTGATCTGCTGAGTGGTTCACGGCTACAGTCAATGGGAAACACATAACTAACGATGACGATAAATACTGTTGTCTTCGCTTACCACAGGTCACACTGATCCAGGCCAAATCTAACTTTCAGGAACTTGCTACTAATTGAAGTTATAGCAGAATGAAGCACTATACACACATTTGGACTGCAATTCAGTAGGCAAAGGCCGCACAGTCTGTGAGTCTAAGGCTTGAAGAACTTCCTGGCCACAGGGCTGTAACACCTATCACCACGGGTCTTATGTTTATGACCACAGGTCTCTGTTTAATGGAGAGACCATATCCATATTATTTATTAAACCTTTCTAAAATGCAGCGTACTAATCTGCCACTAACCACTTAAATGAACCTAGCACCAAAATCAACGCTCTGTTTGTTCAAACAGTGACATTAAACAATGGTTGAATGGGTGAACGCCTAAGGGACCTCCTGGAATAGTCGGGGGGGGGGGAGGTCAGAAACCCCGAGATTTTTAAAGACCCGCGAACACAGTTAAAAACTGATTTGTTCAACTCATTCGTCTGAGAAAAAAAAAATTACTGAAGAAAATGTCTGAGAGTGGATGCGCCAAGGTCGTATTGCTAAGGACCAAGGGGAACTGGAGCCCTGCTCCACGCCGTCGGCGGCCCAGCGCTTCTCGGGCAAAGCGACTTGGAAGCCCTGAGAAGTCTGCAAGGTCAGCTTTTGGATCTGGGTGGAAACCGAGGGGTCACACGTTTCGCCCCTAAACTGAGGGGCAGCAACAAAGCACCACCACCACCCCGGAGAGCTGCTCGCGCCCCGCGTCCTCCCTCACCCGCCGCCACCGCCCCGGCCGTCAGAACCCGGCCCCGCTCTCCCGCGGGCGAGGATGGGGTTTCCAGGGTCACCTCGCTGCCGGCAGTGCTGCACCTGGCAGTGCTGCCCGATGTCCAACTCCGCCATCTTTCCACCGCCGCAAAGGCGGGGAAGGGGAGGGGGCGGGGCAGCGCGGCGTTCACCAACCCGTAGCGTGCAGGGCCCGGGGACGGGGCGGGGGGGGGGAGGGGCTTCGGGGCGGGGCCCACGAGAGGGACGGGCGTGCAGAACTCGGGGGTGTGGCTACGGGCGGGGCCTTGGGGCGGGGCCCACGGTAGGGACGGGACTGCGGCGCGGGGTTCAAGGGAGGAGCGGGGCAGCACTGAGTTCACCACCCAGTAACGTGCAGGACCCGGGGGCGGGGCTGAGAGGCAGGGCCAACGGGGGGGCGGAGCAGCGCTGCTTTTCCAAAACCGTAGCGCGCAGGACCAGGGGGCGGGGCGGAGCGCCGGAGCTTTGGGGCGGGGCCTATAGGAGGGTCGGGGCAGCGTCGCCTCCCGAACCCGTTACGCGCCGGACCAATGGGCTGTGGGCGGGAGGTTCCCACGGGGGGGCGGGGCAGCGCTGCGTTCGCGAACGTGTGGCGTGCAGGACTCGGGGGCGTGGCGGCTTGGCGGGGCCTTGGGGCGGGGTCCACGGGAGGGGCGGGCAGAGCTACTAGCTAGCAAAACCCGGGGGCGGGGCTGAGGGGCGGGGCTCACGGGAGGGACGGGGAAGCGCTGCGTTCACCACCCGTAGCGTTCAGGACCCGGGGGCGGGGCTGAGGGGCTGAGCCCACGGGAGGGGCGGGGCCTGGGTGAGGACGGGAAGTGTCTCACGCTTTGAGGAGGTCTAGCCTTCTTAAGGTTGGGGGGAAACCTGGTCGCCCTCAGTTCCTGGAGCCCTGGTTCTCGCTCTCACGTTTTAGAAAAACCCAGCTCCGCTTTTGGAAACTGTACCCTCTATTCTCCGCGCTGAGCCTTCAACTCGACAACAGCCTCAGGATGATTTCTTGCTTTTCTTAGTGAAGTAGTCCCAGAAGTCAGCACAGACCAGGCACAAAATGTAAGAATCAGGGGACATCCCTGGACACTGGTTACCATTGTCTTGATGACTCAGTTTGAAGTAAATGCTCCCACAGTGGAAGCATTAGACTTTTGTTTTTTACTTTAAAGTTTTTTTCCTTGTCTTTTTTTTTTCAATTCTGATAGGAAAAAGATACATATAGTGAAGTTCTTAGGGCTCCTCAGTGTAGAGAGCACACACTCACTCACTACCCAGGCAAGCTGCCATGACCCAGGAGGAAGGGAGCTCTTTGGTGCCCAATGAGCCACTTCACAACTATGAAGAAGAGGCACTTCCTTGTAGGTGGGGATAGGCAGGGCTGTCATTCCACTGACAAGATACCAGACACCACTCAGTGGATGAGTGACCATCAGCTGCTCTCATGACAGGAATCTGAAAAGTATTTACTGTCTCCCATGTGACTTCAGAGATTCCCCAAACAATGTTCTCCTGGAGAGTGGGGAGGATATGATTGCCACACACCACGCTTTTTCAGTGCGTTCTGGGTATGAGAGCGTGGGTCCTTATGCTTGCGCACCAAGCAGTTTTCTCACCAAACCACCTCCCCTGCCCTCAAGATTTCTTCAATCTAAGGCTCAACAGTTCACCTGAGTTTTTATTAGTGTTTTATTTTACTGGTGAAGTCAAGCAACAGCAAGCCTTCTAGAATATTACTGTACCTAAACTTTTAAATGGGTGGCAAATATATAACTCATCAATCCAATCATAAAAGAAAGAAAATTGTTTTCAGTTCTTGAGGATCTCACAGAGCATTACACAGTTAGAATAGCCAAGACTGAAATTCAACTGCTCTTATCTCTGAGTCTCCTTTTCTGATTATTCTTTACACATTATTTACAGAAATCGATTTTCTCCATATATTTTCTCCAATTTGTGCTTGGTCCATTCATTAACTACATCCTCACAGTGATGAAATTCCAATGGTTTCTATATCAGAAACTCCTCTGCCTGTATACTTAGTTGTGACAACATTCTTTGAAATATGCTCTCTCCATTTCTAGCAGCCTAAGTACCTGCTTTGTGTTCTTTCATAATAAAACTAAAGTGCAAAATGAAGGTGTTTTTGTTTGTTTGTTTTTCACCGCCATTCCCTCCCTAACTGTAGTGTTCTACCACACCAAGAAGCCACTTTCCACCTGCCCTTTCTTATGTGCGTTCTGGAATAGCCACCAAACACAATGGAGTCTTCCTTAGAAACATTGTTTCATTCTCTCTGTATCAATTTCTCCGGATTATCTTTCCTTGTAGAAAGTTACTTTCTTGCCTGTTAGATGTTTCCTCAGTTCCTCATTAGGTACAGAATTCTTTTGTTTGTTCAGTAAAGCTTTCCAGGTGTGTCCCCAACTGTTCCTCACCATGTGCAGTCCTTCTCACTGTCTCCCTCCCGGCCAGTAGACCTTTGGGCTCTTTAGTGTGCCTATCCATTGCACATGCCATTGTCTCTCCCCTGGAATGTTCTCTATGACAGGGGTCCCCAAGTTTCTGTGAAGCTAAAATCATGTGCATGCTTGTCCACAAATCCAGCTGCTCCCCTCCTCCTCGCTCTGATTATGGGGCGGGAGATGGCTGTAGGAAGCAGTATAATTGGCGACACACGCTTCCTTATTGAGGAATTTACAAAGCCCTTTGTTGTTCTCTACTCCACCTTCAGCATATAATCAGTCACTCGTCATCTTGCAAGGCTTTCGGAAGGTATAGGCACAATTCAGTCCTCCAGGACATCGACATCTCTCCTCACACTCACCACGTGTGTTTCTTGGTGCCACTACCCAGGTTCTATTAAAATTTGATTCACTCCACTCTCTATTCCTTTTCCCCATCTCTGCCTTGAATTCTATGGGCTACAAAATAAAATCTATCTTTGGTTCAATTCAGCAAGCAATTTGAACATCTCCTACATTTGAGGTACTATTCCATATCTGATAAAGAATTAAATACAACATAGTCTACAACTACATGGAACTGGAGATGTCTGAGATGGACTGTCTTTGTTTGGCACTTAAAAATATTTCAAAAGCTGACCCAATGTACCTCGTCCTTGCTATCTTCTGAAGACATCAGCACACCGCACCAAGTCACATTAGGCCCTTTGCACATCTGTTTCTTTTACTTGGAATATTCGTTCTTCTGCTGTGGCTAGTCCATTTCTTCCTTTCTACTAATCTTTTCTTTAGAAAATCTTATTTTTTCCTAAACTAGACTCAGTCTTGTTGCCTTTATATGCATTTTACATCTTTTCCACAGATTTCTCCCAGGGTAGATTGCATTTTTTAAAATGTGATTACTGGTTGGTAGTGTTCTCCAATAATTTATAACTTCCCTGAAGTCAGGAATCGCTCACTTTATTACCCATAATATTAAAATTGTATTGAGCCTACATTTTAGATGCTAAATTGAAAGACCCTACAGACCCCTCCTCAAAACCCGCAGCTAGCATGCTCCCGGGGGGGGGGGGCGCCCTGTTTGCTTGAAAAATTCTCAGATCAGCAGCCAGCCTGCTCTCATAAGAACACTCCATTTGCTTAGGAGAGCAGGATGTCTACGAGATAGGATGACTGCAAGGCAGGATATCAATAAGATAGGACATCAGCAAAGCAGGTTGACTGCAAAACAGGATATCTATAAGATAGGAACAGAATGACTTTTGCTGACACCCATGCTGAGCCCCCACCTCATTCCGATAACCACGCTTTTGCTTCTGTAAACTTGCTTTTTGCTCCTCCCTATAAAAAAAAAAACCCGGCCTCCAGTCCGCAGGCGCGCAAGTCCTCCAGAAAGACTTGCTGCCCGCAGGTACCTGTGTTTACCCAATAAACCTCTTGCGATTTGCATCCGTATGGTCTCGGCCTGTTCCTTGGCATGGGGAGGTCTCCTCCTGAGAGAAAGTCCTCTTCGAGGGTCTTTCAAAATAACATTCATTGAATGGATTACTGAGAGAGCCCTCTTTAGAGTCTTCTATGCACTTGCCCAAATGAATTTACCACAGGTTCCCGTGCCTACTCCTGCCTTCCTTCCTGTGGTACTCTGTGTTATTCCTCCTGATTTGCAATGTCTTTACCACATCCTCACAAATCATCTTTCTACCCATAACCATGTGCTGTGAAATGCTCCTTTATACACTGTAAAGATTTGTCCCTAGAATTGGCAGGAAGTATAAGCAACACAAGCAGACTAAGATTGCTGGGATGAAGAAGGGTGGAGCCAGAGGAACAGCAAGGAGATGCAGAGGGAAGTAAGGTAGGCAAGCCGTACTGAGAAGAGAAAAGAAATATGGTTAATTTAAGTGAAAGAGTTAGCTAGTAACAAGCCTGATATGTTGACTAAAAATTTATAATTAATATTAAGACTCTGAATGGTTATTTGAGAGCCACTGCTGGGTCAGAAAAACTCTGCCTACAATCCTGTGTGTAAATAACATCATCCCTACAAGGCTTACCCTCATTTTCCTGCTATAAAGTCTCTCTTTCAAATGCATTCATTACATTATCTTTTTAAAAATTTGGTTATTTACAGAGTTTACTATTGTTATTCTTACAAGTATTTCCTCATGCAGTAGGTTGGCCTATGCCGTTACAAATTGATGTTGCATTCATTGTACATTCTTTTCCCTCTATCTGTGAAGTCTCATTTTTTTTTTCATTATTCCCAATGGGGATAGAGTCATTGTTCTCAGCTATGAGAACACAAAAGTGATCACAACTTAACCATCTGAAAAATAATGCTATTCTGTACTGGCAGGACTGTGAATAGAGGAGAGACACAAAAAAACTACCAAGCAGCTCTGTTAATAACAGCTCAAATTTAGAAATGCAAACAAGCAAACAAAAAACCCAAAATAAAACAACAGCAACAAAAGATTCACCAGCAGGAGAAAATGTGAATGAGTCATGGTACAGTGGTAAGCAGAGATTTCCTGTTTCCCAGCAGCTCCCAAATAATCACTCAGAAATTACTATTAATTTTAGATGCTCTTCTGATAGCTCAGGCTTGTTGATCGCTAACTCTAACATCTTCAGTTCACCTATATTTCTTATCTATGTTTTGTCACATGGCTTGGTGCGTTCTCTCAGCA